CGATAGATAGATAGATGATAGATGATTGATAGACAGACAGACAGATAGATAGATTATACATGCATGTATGCATGCATGCATGCATACATACATACATACATTGAATGAGTGGATTGCTTTTAGGATTGGCCAAACAAGTCCTTACCCTATTACACCTTTGTTCCTTGGTGTTAGATGTCACCAGAGGTGATCTTAGGAAGCTCAGTATTCCCCTGAAACAAAGTTCACAGTGCCCCTCATCAACATAATATATACATATAAAGATTAACTGTAACAAATACTGAAGATGCTGACTCTCTGGCCTTGAAGTTCCCCAGTAGTTGTTCAGGAACCTTTCTAGATGGAGCTTTTGTGAAGCATTACACATAGTAAGGGGGTTTTTCAAAGTTACAGCTGTCATTCTGTCAGCCATGGTCCTGTAAATAACCCCTCACCCATTCTTCCATAAGTAACTACAGTACATTTACCAAACAAGACTTTGATAGAATCATTTCTTTTGAGTGTCATAGTCTGGTATGAATAGACATGGCACCATCTGCCCATGAGAAGGTCTGAATTTCAAATTTATACAAATTTTGAGTCCTTCCCCCAGGTCAGGGCATGGAGTGTGCAAGATCCATCATAGGTCATCCCAAGTGCCAATGAATAGGCAGATTTAGGTGTGACAAATCTCCCAATTATGTAAAAGGAGCTTTTCTCAAAACTCTAAGCCTTGGCATCCCATTTAGAACAATGGATTTCTGCCTCATGAAAGTGAAACTCAATTTTATTTTGGAGCCACCTATTGGGTGTTTGAATGGAAAGCTGGACTGATCTGGAGGTGATGTTCACAAAGGCAGTAGCTTTGCATTGGTCTTGTGGAGAAGTCTTCTGGGGAAGGCCTGGCCAACTGATTTTTCTCAGATCAGTCTCCTTACCTGGCATACTGCTGCAGTTCATGTCATTTCATTAAGACTGAAGTTGAACATTTTAACTTGTATATGAGTGCTTATCTTAGGAATTAATTTGAAGACGTGTGCATACTATGTCACAGGTCACTAAGAGTCAGGCTACAAATGTTGATGACCTGATTACTTTTTAAGTTTAAAGAATTATTGTGTGTATAATGTGTATGTATATGAGTGCCTGCACGTCACATTTCTCAGTGGAACAATATTTTTCTCTTTTCTCTCTTTTGACCTATTTGCTTGTTCTAGGT